TGTATGTATGTATGTATGTATGTATGTATGTATGTATGTATGTATGTATGTATGTATGTATGTATGTATGTATGTATGTATGTATGTATGTATGTATGTATGTATGTATGTATGTATGTATGTATGTATGTATGTATGTATGTATGTATGTATGTATGTATGTATGTATGTATGTATGTATGTATGTATGTAGGTAGGTAGGTAGGTAGGTAGGTAGGTAGGTAGGTAGGTAGGTATGTATTAGTAGGTATGTATGTATGTATGTATGTATGTATGTATGTATGTATGTATGTATGTATGTATGTATGTATGTATGTATGTATGTATGTATGTATGTATGTATGTATGTATGTATGTATGTATGTATGTATGTATGTATGTATGTATGTATATGTATATATGTATGTATGTGTGTATGCATATATGTGTGTGTATGTTCGTATGTATGGGGATGTTCCTATGTGTGTGTGCGTGAATGGGTTTGCGTGTGAATGTGTGTTCGCGCGCGAGCGTGTGCACATATTTTACCACCCATGCTTTTGTTTGTGACTTGATATTCAAAATATGCATATTTTTACATGAACATAACATGCTTTATTGATGAAATAGAACTGGCGTGTGAAAGATAGGAGTTTGGAAGGGGCGAATGTAAGACAGGCCTGCGTGCCTAATTTGTAACCCTTTAAAAATAACGTTTGTTCGTTCTTTCTCCCTCTCTTTTTCTGGTTACAAAGATGAAAGAATAGAAAGGCATAGACAGATAAACCAAACGTTTCGACCCGTCTTTATAAGCGAATTCAACACAACCAACGGAAAAGGATAAACGGTTGACAGTGAACTCGCTGAGCCAGTGCGGTAATTAACGACTTTAGACTACAGAAGGCACAAACATTTTCAAAGATTCTAACTGCCCCCTTTGTTGAAAATCACCGTCATAGAATGTCAGCGCCAGATTTGCAGTGAACCGTATCGGTAAGGTCAATGTTTACGACTCCTTCAGCTGACGCTTACATCATTCATTCACTATTTAAGGACACCACGGTGTCCATGAAGATTTAGCTATTGTACGATATAATAAATCAGTTTTTTGAAAAAATAAATAGTTGAAATAAATAAAGGATTGCTGCAAATTTAAAAAGTCGATGTGTATATTGGAACAGATAGCATTTGATAACCAAACGGTGACAAAATAAGAGGACCCTTTTTTTCCCCCCAAACATGTAGACATCAGCCTCCCTGTGCCAAGCCCTCGGGTTTCGCCCAATCGACGCCGGGGTCGTATCAGGAGGACACGTGATGTAAACATTGGCGTCAAGGCACGACCCAGGCAGGGATCGACCACGTGGACACTGACACTGAAGGCACACATCGGCCGCATGCTCACTCGCTTCCCATTGGCTACCCGGGACCTGCCCCCGCCGTCTCATTGGTCAAAATATCCCCGCCCTCGCCTTGAAAATTTACTATGCCAAATTTCTTGTGCAAGAAGAAAAAGTCTTTATGGAAGAATGACCTCACATTGCTCACAGATTATGTGAACAAAAAAGATGAGCAAGGTGGATGTGCGGTTTAGATTATTATCGAAATATTCCACCTGTGGGTTTTACAGTAAGTGATGCCTGTATTTGTAAATTTTATTGAAAAAGTAATGTCAGAAACGCGATGGGGGACGATCGTCTCAAGGCGGTGTATAGCTAGCTCGGATTTACCAGTGTTGTATCAACGTGCTTTATTTATTTATTGATTGCCTTATGGGTTCACACAAATCCCAGTAAAGTCTTAACGATTGAGTTCAATAACCGGCACAGTGGCTTTAAGACAGTTTTAGCAAGTTGATATTTTATTTGATTAAAGACAAATTTCCGTTAAATTACAACACCCACACACATACGTGGAAAATATATACTATACATTAAAATATACCCACCCTCCTTTCACCTGTTAAATTGCCGTCTGCTATAATACGTATTGTAGCAGTAAATTAACGATGTGGGAACTTGTAATATTTTCATATATTAAATAAATACAGTTGTATAAGATTTATTTCTTATTGTGCTCTTTTTTAAATTGAAACATTTAGTTGAGAAAATATTAATGTATTAATAGTATTAAAATAAAATAAAAAACCACGCACTGCGACAACAGGTGAATGGCTGGTGGACGTGACAAGGGTCAGAGTCCAGTAGGTGACCTGCTTTTGCTATCTAGACCACTCCATCTTACCTTTTTGAGCTATCTTCTCTTGAATGGGAAATTATGCTTAATACTTGCCTGCAGGGTCGTATATAAAATTTTTCAGTGATGAAGTTTGCGTTTTGTAAGTTGTTGGTATTTTTTAAGGATTTTTATAAAGGCTTTCTGTCTAAACTTTTTTTTTAATACTTCAAATTACTTTACTTTACATTACTTTAGCTCTATCTGTACTACAGTCTTGTTGTTATAAGGTTTGGATTCTTAAAACCAAACATTAAAAAGATATCACATAATATCAAGTTTGAGCTTTGGACAAAGGATTAACATCAAGGCACACGGGTAGTAAACCATAAGTGCTCAGTTCTTCTTCTAACTCAAGTCAGTCTAAAGAAGCTCAGCACATTGCACAGGCTCTGTAGCACCGTCAAAGATCCTGAAATACTTTGCGTTGATTTTCAACTCTGGGCAGCGCCCTTAGGAAGTGACATTAAAAATAAGGAAAGAACTAGAGTGTGAGAAAAATAGGCGAGCATTTCAGCAACAATTACAGGAAAATTATGAACAGCTTCCACAAAACACACTTGGGGTAAATACACAATGGTTGAATTTCACAACTATAAAAATAGCACAAGAAATATGTGGAACTAAAAGGAAAGGTAACATAGGGCATAAGCTCTCAACATGGTGATCTGAAGAAGAAAGAAGAATTGTGAGCAATAAAAAGTAAGCCTATGGCATTTGGCTGAGGAGCAGAACAGAAGAGGATTACATAACATACAGGATAATTAGAAGAGAAGTAAATAGAACTATCAGACAATCAAAAAGAGATTCATGGGAACAGTTTGGAAGCAAGCTGGCTGAAGAAGAAAGAACAGCTGTGAAAAACTACTACAAAAAAAGCAAAGGCATGAGAAACAGGAATGAAGAATACAACCCAACAGAAATTATAACCTTTACTTTCCAAGCATTACCTCATACCCACTTCTGGCTAGGTCGACCTGGAAGCCAACTTAATTTAAAAAAAAAAAATTCTGACATGATGCAGATTCGAACCCAAGACCTTTAAGGCAGCAAGCATGCATCTAGTCACTATGTTACCGTGGATTGTGGGAGGTGAAAAACAGTAACAGCAGCAGAACATCTAGACTCCTGTGTTGGCATTTTGGTCTGAACTTGTGGCCAGGGCATTATGAACATCATCATCATCATATACCACAGGCATAATGAGCACAGTTTCATTATTCTAACATTCTGGGTTAGATTCAGCAAAACGGGATTTGGCATCATACTGCTTTGCATTTATTAGCTGTTTAGCTTTTCACATACATAGTTTTATGTTCAGTGGTGTGCCACTGTACCTGTAGGTCCACGCCTCTCCATTCAGCCAAACCCTGCATCAAGTAACCCTCTTCCCTCCCCCACTCCACACACTATTAGTAAAGTAAAATGAAATTAGGGGACCCTTTTGCCACGCCATCAGTCCTATTGGCATTTAGGGCTACACCTAAATTATATAAACCAATCGTTACTTGGTGGATGATATGGTCAACATCACGCGACCACCTTTACTTCCCAGACTTCACCTGGAGCCCTTTTAAGGCTAATTCAACATTAGAGCCATGTTTTTTTTTGGTCCCCATCCATCATGTCCTGTCCCACAACCTTCAAATTTGCAAGCAAGTATCAAGCCGCTACATCAGACCCTTCCCCCTCCCCAAAATAGGACCTCGAAATAGTGCTGTGATGAGGTTGGTAGCTTCCATCACACAGTCACACCTTATCGCATTGACTATATAATATCGTGAGTATTGGGTCACCCATCTCTTTTTTTCCAATAAATATTCTTGATACCCATATGATCAGACTGGGTTAGCCCAAACCAAACCCACTCTGGTCCGAACTAATCCACACTGCCACCTTTGGGGGTTGAGCCTAGACCCATTGTCTTAATAAGCAAATCACTAACAACTACACGTCACTTCCTGGTGTATCTACAATGATGGGGAGTAATGGTAATCTTCAGTATGTTGACTGTTCACTCTCCAGCTGAGAAGATGTAGAAAATATTAGTAAAGCATAAAGTGTGTATCAGCTGTACAAGTAGATACGGTGCTATATTTTTTAGTTACCCCAAACACGGGAAATCCGAGGGAAATCCACAGCTGACCTGTCACTCGACTATTTCAAGGGGTGCAAGGCCCAAGTGTGCTGTGTTGTGGTGTGGCATATTTCTGTGTTTTCGGTCAGCTGGTGTACAATACTGGTAATATTTTCAGGCCACCATAGATATTATAATAGACAAACAAAGGATGTTGAGGCGATTAACCAATATCAGCACAACAACATTAAAACAAAACACAACACGCACACAAATGAACTGACTCTGAAATGACTGCATTATGGTGTTCAAATACTATGTAAATAAATGAACCAACATAAAAATAAAAGACAGAATTATATAAAGTATGTAAATCTTACCAAGCGGCATCCATGGCTTAGGTGTTGTGAGTCTGACTCGTAATTCCAATGTACCGCAATCAAAACCCACTGCTGGCTGTGATGATTTTTATCATGGTATGGGGCACGACAGGTCGACCTAGCCTAAAACGGGTACCGTGATGTATGTCCTGGGGAAGTAAAGACGGCCGGCGTAATGCTGACCACATTACCCACCTAATGCCAATTGGTTTATAAAAAATATGGGTGCTTTTCCCATATACCTGATGCGCCTAAAGGCGTGAAAAGGGATCTTTACTTACTTTATACTTACCTGGACTGCTTTGAACTGTTTTATTATATATCTTCAGATGAGCGACAGGGATGTGTGCTGCACTGTTGGCAACGCCATGGAGAGAGATGCTGTAGAATCTTTGCTATCCATTTCTCGAGGCTTGAGAAGAAGCCCTTCAGTTAGCATTGCTGAGAGTCAACCAACTCTGAATGTGGGGCTAAGCTTGACCTTACAGGATCAAACTGCTGGAACAGGCAAAACACAGAGCACTTTAGAACAGGTATGTTAGCAAACTGCTTTATTGTGCAAATTTATTAAGTTGTTCTCTCTCTTTCTCTTTCTCTCTCTTTCTCTCTCTTCCTCTCTCTGTCATGATCTGGCCTCTCTCCCACTCTCTGTCTCTTTCTTTCTTTCTTTGTATAGGTGCATGCTGGAGGAAGGTTTAAAGGTAATACTGGAACCTTCTATGTATCTTATTCTGTGTTTGGCCTTAAAGGGTATTTGGTCCATTGTTTTGTGGTTCACAGCTAGGCTGCGATAACTGCACTTTTTGATCCAACACCTCTAATTTCAGCAAACTCTTATGAGTCACCTTTTACAACTTTCTCTCTTTCTGTGTGTTGATCTTCTGCTTCTGAGTTAATTTGGTACAGTGTGTTGTTTTCAAAGTCTTGGATGGTTAAGTTGACGGCTTTCCTCTGGCATCTCATTTCATATGTGTTAATTCTACATGGGTTATCCTTTGAAAATGTCCTTGGTTGGCACAAGTAGCACAGCATTAGTAATCTGTTTCTTGGCACTACCTAAAATAGAAATAATCCACTCGCAAAATATACAAAATACAAGTTTTTTTTCTCAAAATCCTCAGTGTCATTTAACTCTTTGAGTCCCAGCGGGTTTAGCATCACAGGCCCAGGGGGTAGTAAAGAAAGTAATAAAATCGGTGTATCATGCGTTCATTGGGCTTCTAGGTAGGAACCTATGAACGTATGATGCGTTCCTTGGTACTCAAAGAGTTAAATTATATCACTACATTTAACACCATATATGCCCAGAATTGTGGTTGGTGGGCACAATGTAAATGATTTATGTTATGCTGATGACACAGTCTTAATAGCAACAAGTCAGAAAGCACTACAGGAAATGATCGACATTTTGGTGTTGGAAAGTGGAAGAATGGGCCTCAGTTTGAATAATGGGAAGACAGAAGTAATGATGGTATCAAAGAAATGAATTATTCCTAAGTGTGTAATAAAGGTTAATGGTGTTATTTTAGGACAAGTACAGAAATTTAAGAATCTGGGCACATGGATAACATCAGATGGAAGATGCATGACTGAGATAAGAAACAGAACAGGACAGGCGAAAACTGCATTTTATACAATGAAGAATATCTTGTGCAATATATCCTTGTCATTAAGAGTTAGAAAAAGAATTCTTGCTTGCTACACACATCCAGTTTTAACATATATGACATGCTGTTTTAAAATTGCTGAACTAGGTGAGAACATTGGATATCTGTGAAGTATTTGTGTGAAAGTATGGTCATTAATAAATAAAGCTGAAATGTTTTCTTCTGCTGTTGCAGATTTTGAAGGGAAAGACAATAACGAATTACCTTCATCTGAGTTCAACAGACAAATCAAATCAGAGGGAGTCAGTTATTGTGTCAAGACAGCCATCCATTCTCACATCTTCGTCATATCCCACAGTGGCAACCCCAACGACAGTGCTAACTGATGCATACATGCCACCAACCACAACTACCACTAAGATATTTCGTGGTCATAAAAGACGGTTCCAAGAACTTTATGGTGAGACAAACATTGATGGAATATCCCTTAGCCCAGGTCCTTCAAAGTCTTTAGCCATGGCATCATCATCAGCAGCAGCTTCAGCCGGTCCTAGTGAAGTCCTGGATTTATCCATACCGCTACAGACAAAAGACAAGGCAGATAGTCAGAACACCTTATCTGCTTTTCAAGATGAGCAGTGTGAAAAGATGAGGCCTCATTCTCCAACTTCTCTGTTTTCTAGATTTGGACATTGCAGCTGTGACTCTTGTTTGGATTCTCACAGACCTTTAACCCCCTATTTCGCAGAAGACTTGCCACGTTGTCTGACTCCATTAGACCCTGGGCCTTGTCAAGAATTTGGTGCGCCAGGCTCAGTTGACAACTTTGACTCACACTCGCAGCTATCAGATGATGATGATAATAATGATGAAGATGATGATGAGGAGGATGATATTGATGACACTGAAAATAGTCAGCATAATTTACGTCCAGTTAAATTTTTCATGCCTCCAACATCAAACCTTGGGCAGAAAACTGCGAGCAGTACAACACAAGATATTTCAAAGGACATAGAGCAGAAAATTGGAAGCTGTACTGAAAGAGAAAAAGAACAGAAAACTGTCAGCAGTACAACAAAAGACATTTTAAGAGACATAGAACAGGCAAGTGTGAGCTGTGCAACAGCAGGCGTTTCAGCTCCCACATTCACCACCGCATCCTTCTCAAGCCCAAAATGTGGACTAGATGATAGTTTTGACTACTCTACCCAAGTAAAACTTCCTATACTTTCCAGGACAGAAACGAATCAAATCTCACTCCTTTTCAGAAGAAAAAATAAGTAACCATGTGTTAGCAAAATCGCATACAGATCCTCACTTGCTTAATTTACATAAAACTCCTCAGAAGCTTTCTGAAAACAGGTCAAGTTTGCAATCAAAAGTAGCAAGTATTTCACCGGATTGTAATAATTCAAAGGACATTTGCAGAAATCAAACAAGCAGCCCAGTCAGTAATCCACTAGTCTCACAAAAAGGTCCACATTTGGAAGGTTATTCCAAGCTAAGTTCCCTCCTTAGGTCATCTGTTTATCTCCATTCCATTCTCAGTAGCAGCTAGTGCACCTCATTCTGTTAGTTCATCAACTCAGTTCCCAAAAGCCCCTACATTGGCAATCAACAGTCAACCCACAGCTTTATTGCCTTCTATAGTTCAAAACACAGTTACGAACAGTATCCGACAGCTACCTCAACAACCAGTAGTAACAACTCAATCCACTCATGTCATTACCACAACCAATTCTGGAATTATCAGTGGGAAGAACTCTGTCATCATTCTGCCATCAGATCAAGTGAGCATTCCACTGTTACAGATATCCAGTCATGGAGGTGCTTGTCAACCACCAATTGTCCAGGTGTTTGTGGTCAACTCATACAACCAGCCTCCTCCAGTAAACATATCGTCTCCTCCGAAAGGTTTAGATAATTTTCAACCAATTGCACCTGCCCCGGTTTTAGTCACAGCTGTTGAACCCAGAACAGAAGAGATTTCCTTGGATGAACTCCGCAGGCGTCGAACTTACAAATGTCACATTCCAGACTGTGGGAAAACATATTATAAAAGCTCTCATCTCAAAGCACATGTTAGAACACATACAGGTGAGGAATCTTAATTACAATTGTAGCATTATTTGTTTAATTTTAGAAGGTCGCTCTTAACCACAAGTACTTTTTTTTTTAATATTGTGTGGTGTGAGGCATTAATTGCCCAGTTAGATCTTGAATAACGAAGACACACACAATAATATATACATTTGATTAACTTACATATTTCCCCCATTGATGTATATCGCACAAAATTCATTGGTTCTAGTATTCGTGGCTAATATGCTTCTTCTTTTCTTCTTATTCTCTTCTTCATCCTTCTAATCACTAGTCCCTGTTTTGCTTTTCAGTCTGGACCATTTCTTGACCTTTTGAAAAAGAAGCTGTTATATTCACAGCCTCAGATATTTCATCTATTCATTGCTTGCATGGTCGACCTCTAGTTCTGATCCAGTGTGGCTCCATTTGATACAGCACACAGCGTTTCGCAGAATCACTTTTTGTCCCAGGTCATACCGTTGTGAAAGGCAGTGAGAGTGCAGATGCCCTGGCTGGCAGTTTGACTATCAGGAATGGGTCGTCCATGGACAGGAGAGACATCATTAGGGCCATATGAGAGACTAAATGCTGTGAGGCAGCAGGGAAAAATAATTTTTCACTGAAAAGACCGCATACCTTGGATGTACCAGTTGGAACAGTGAGACAGGAAAACCATGCGGGAGCCACCTGTCATTGCGTCAGCCACAACAGAATAGGAATTGTTAGCCTAAAAACACTTGGAGACATACTCAGGAGGAGATCAGTGCACGAATGGTCATGTCCGATTTGCAATGAAGATGATCTTAAAATGAACAATGTGTCTGACTGATGTGGCTCTGTATGGTGCATTCTTCTTTTGTAATCTTTACCCTTTCTGAACCATCTGGCCTGTTGTCTCCTGATACATTTTACCACTGGTTCCATCCCTACTTGTTTCTCGTTATCGTCATTTCTTACCCTGTTGTAGTGGTAGACATTTCATTTATGTGCTTTTGATTTTTCTTTTTCCTTTTGTTGTAAGTGTCCATATTTGGCACTAATAGAACAATGTTGGTAAAGATATTGACATGTAGGCTTAACCTGACATTTCACAGTTAATTCTCCACATTTTTAACCAGTCTCCATAATTATCCACATGTTTAACCAATACCCATAATTCTTCACATGTTTAACAGTTGTCCATAATTGTCAACAAGTTAAACTTTTGTTGATAATTCTCCACATGTTTAACAGTTGTCCATAATTCTCCACATGTTTAACTATTGTCAATAATTCTCCACGTGTTTAACTAATGCCCATACATTTACTTGTTTTAACTAATCTCCACCAAAAATAGGTTAAAATACTAAATAGTTTTTTTTTAAATTTGTTTGTAAAACTTTCATTATAAACTTGAATTTTATCACAAATTGTCATCATGGACTATTTATTTTACATTTTTGACATCCTTTTATCATTACCAGGAGAGAAACCATTTATTTGTGGATGGCAAGGATGTATCAGAAGCTTTGCTAGATCCGATGAACGCTCACGCCATCTTCGAACACACACAGGAGAAAGGAAGTTTGTTTGTAGCGTTTGTCAGCGCCGCTTCATGCGCAGCGACCACCTGGCTAAACACCTTCGGCGTCACAACAGCAGTAGCTATAGCAAAAAGTCTGCAGTCTGGAACAAGCATCCAATCACAGCAAATCCAGAAAATGTAACCAGTGGATCTGTTAACAGTAACGGAATGGATTGTTCTGTTAAAACATAGTTTAAAAATGCATCAATAGTGTGATAATATAATTAAAAATACATCAGTAGTGTGAAAATATAATTAAAACACCATCAGCAGTGTGAAAATATAGTTAAATACATATCAGTAATGTGAAATAGAATAAAAAATACATCAGTAGTGTGAAAATATAATTAAAATGCCATCAGCAGTGTGAAAATATAGTTAAATACATATCAGTAATGTGAAATAGAATAAAAAATACATCAGTAGTGTGAGAATATAATTAAAACACCATCAGCAGTGTGAAAATATAGTTAAATACATATCAGTAATGTGAAAATAGAATAAAAAATACATCAGTAGTGTGAAAATATAATTAAAATACCATCAGCAGTGTGAAAATATAGTTAAATACATATCAGTAATGTGAAATAGAATAAAAAATACATCAGTAGTGTGAGAATATAATTTTTTTAAAAACATTGGTGTTGTGAGAATGTAATTAAAAATATATCAGTAGGGTGAGACTATAATTGAAAATATACCAGTAGAGTGAAAATATAATTAAAATACAACAGTAGTGTGATAATATAATTAAATATACATCAAAAGGGTGAACATATAATTCAAAATACAACAGCAGAAGTTGTATGTTGGTAGTAAAATAAGTGAAGAATACTTTTCAGGCACAAGATATTAAACCTGCCTTTTAATAGAAAATTGGCACTTGATGTAGTCGACATAATGCCGTCCACCTTTACTTCATGGAACTGGTTTTAGTCTTAGTTAATCTGTGACCCTTGGGTCAAAATTTAAAAGTCCCAGGTGGGTCCTGGCGCCCCATTTTCATGGAAAACAGTATAGACAATGCCCACTTCCCACAAGAATGCCATGCAAAGCAACTGACCGATTGTGATTTTGTTTAAATTGTATGTGTTAGGCCTAAAGACGCATATGTCGCAGTCTAATTGTAACCACAATATGTCACCAACTTTGGGGTGGGGGCACACACAGAAAAGTGAGAAGAAATAAATTTTAAAAATCTGCCACTGTGTAGATTTGACCTCAAGACATTTAGATCAGCTGGCAAGCAGAAGTTATATAAGTAATAAATTTTTATTTGCCGTGTAAACATAATTGTATCTGTAGTGGTAATGTTGACGCTGTGAATGATTCTGTTGTGGCATTGTTATTCTTGTTTGTTAGATAACGAATCGCTTAACACCACACAAAAACTCTTTTTGTTCAGCATTCCATTCCTCTCAGATGCTACTTCACTAGCTTTGCACTTTGATATAATATCATGTATTTCGTCCTTTTAAGGACAAATTTTTTTGTTATTTGAAGCCCCACCCTGGTTTTTGCCAGGGGCCGCATTATAGGTAGGCCATAAATATGGCCAATTGTCTGAATGCGGTTTCTGGGACCTCTCCACGGCGATCCTCATCCACATGGTGGCACTTTGTGTCATCGGATGTTTATCGCTTATGTGATGTCCTGGTGGGGAGAAAGTCAGTCAGTCAGTCATATAAGTTCCAGCATCGCTAAATAAGCTCTGTGTATTAAATTACAAGCTAATTTAATTTATTTGAGTATTCATCTCTTTTAATAACATCAAGCTTTAAGACTATGCTGTATTTCTACATTTTTTGGTGCCATTACATAGCAGCTAATGGAAAACGTAAATATCCAGTAGTGAAAGAGAGAAAAAAGTACATCCCTTTATAACCCATATGGGTTTAACAGGATATCATTGTTTTAAAATACTTCTACTAAAGTATGCTGGCTGCTAGGCTTAGTGTTACTGTTGCTTTTATGTCTATCTTATGTGTATTTTAATTGTATGGTTTAATTTATTAATGTTATCTACGCCATATCTTTGTGATGAACCTTTGTATTGTTATTCAAATGTTATTTATTAGTATGAAAGAAAAACAGTATTACCTAACAAGCACCAAACAAAAAGTCACGTTGTTGTGTCTTCTAAAAATGTCAGAAAGAAATGTCCTAATTTAGTAATCTTGTTTTTTAGCTGTAGTAGTATTTTAGTTGTGTTCACTTATCTTCTATTTCCTGTTCACCAGCTGTAAACTTAGGCGGAAAGTTCTGGCTGTTTGTCCTCTTCTAGACTTTAGTCTTGCTCCAGTATTTGTGACATGATCACAACCATGACTCCTTTATGCCCTGCGACTTTTCTGTTTTAAATGTTGTGCCTACCTTGAGGCAGATTTTAACACTTGATCACTGGTCCAGCAAACTGGCTGGTGATCTACCCACGACTAGTATGGGACTGGCAGATTCACTCATTGTGTGAATTTCCGTTGCTGAAACTGCTGTTAACACTTAGCCTCAGTATGTTTCAGTGGTTTATGAATGAGCTTAATTGCATCATCTGCAGTAGATTAAGATAAATGTAAACTCAACACCATGAAAATGATGGTTTGGAATTGCCTCTCAAAACTTTTAGAATTGCAAATGCCATATTCTTGTGTAATCAAGTTTCTTGTTTGTTCAGTTGTCTGTAGGATAAGTGGCTGTTGTCATATCCCAGGGTTGTAATGTCATTTTAATGTTAATTTATTTGTACATAGAATTTATACTATAGGTTGCCACACCTTTGCTTTTTAATCTCTCAGATATTTCTCAAAATCTCTTTACTTGCTGTCTCTGTCACACGTATATATTATTATATATTATCTCTTGCTAATGCATTAGAAAACATATTTTGATCCGACGTAACTTTTCTTTTTATTTATGTTTTATCATATCTTTTAGAATAACTACTTACAGTTGGATTTGCCATTTTTGTCAATATAATTTGTTCTTTTGAAATCTCATTTTTAAATTGTCAAAGATATATTCATATCATCCTTTTGTGCCAGGCGGTTAATTAAGAACTAAATTTTCTTGTGGAAATTACGGAGCAGAAGTATAACAAAGTTTTGCATACGTGAACAGTTAATTTGTTTCTTTAGATAATCTGATATAGATGGTCAAAAGTATTGAGTATGGCAGTCAGTGCCTCATAGCTTCGCATCACCTTATACAGTCTTCAGGTTATTTTGTAACCTTCAGGGGCCGTGGTATAACCTCACTGTTAAACACTGTTTCTGGAATTTGTACCTTATCTGAGTAATGACACATTGCACAATGTGTTACAGGGTGTTGATGGCTTAGTGTGGAGTACAACTTCGCTCATTGAAATTGGAGAATATAAATAGATAAGTGGCTCTCAACCTTCCTAATGCTGTGATCCTTCAATATAATTCCTCATGTTATATTGACCCCCAACTATGAATTATTTTCGTTGCCACTTCATAACCTTAGTGAATATGTTTTTCCCGATGGTATTGAGCGACCCCTGTGAAAGGGTCAGGTCGTTCAACTCCTAAAGGGGTCACGACCTACAGGTTGAGAACTGCTGATAAAGATGATCTGAAGTGTGGAGTCTGGAACATCTTGTCTTTTTCTGTCCTGCATCTCCCATTGGTGTATAAATCCTCAATCAACTCAGCCCAATCTTTTGCCATTCCCTTTATCTTCCTAAATGTCCTGCCCATTATTTTTATTGGCTTCTGCGTAAAACTTATTATGTTACATTTCTCCTACAACCTGTGCTGTCTTTTATAGAGCAGACATAGCTGTAACGTTTAAGATGCCAAACATGGGTATTTGCCTAGGTGAGAGAAGGTTGGTTGGTAATTCAATCTTCTTTGCCCTTTCTATCTATCACTTCATTCTTCTTCTAGAAGTACTTCCTATATATCCTGGTGGACTGATTTTTTTATTTGGCAATTTATTGTTAATTTTCGAAATGATAGATACACTAGAGGACAGTTTTTCTGTGTATACTGAGCTAGATAGAAGAATGTAAGCTGGAACAAAAAAAAAACACCAGTTTGTCTAATGTTGTTAAGGGTTTCTAAATGAAATAATTGGATATATCAGTCAAATCTGGTTAATTCTTCATAACAAATATCTAATTTCAACTTCACGCATATACTTTGGTCCTAGGAAGGACATCATGTGTCTGTTTAACAGCCTGGTCATGGTGCTCTTTTTGATAAAGTGTATTTACTTCTGAAAACATTTGTTGATTGAGGTATATTTGAATTCATAGTGTCTGTGAAAAGTGTCCTGGATTTAGCTATATTTGAATTCATAGAGTCTGTGAAAAGTGTCATGGCTGTTAAGAAGAGATGATGCAATAAGAGAGTTTTAATGTTGTTAGGCTTCATCACAGTCTAAATCTTTCATCAGTCAGACGAGTGTCTGTTTGCTAGGGAAGCTAAATGGAGAGTTGTAGGTGACTAAAATGTCTGTCCATCACCTCTAATCACTTCCAAGTCCCAACAATCTTGACCTTGATGACATACAAAGGTATGCAGTACCGGCACCTTTTCTAAGGCATCATTTTTGTTAAGCACAACTGTTATAAAATACTTTGTAATGTGTACCTTTTATGGACACTTTGTGGTGAGTACCTTTCTTTCTGGGGGAAAAATCCATACCTGCCTTTACTGCCTTCATTTACCACTTGTTATGGCAGTGTTACAATAAGGGGCGGGGCAGGGTACTTGGATCTAAGGCTTTAAGACCATCACCAAAGTAGCTGATCCCTTGCAGAAAGTCACTGTTATCACGGTCTGCCTGAACACTCATCCTCTCTTTAGCTCGTCCACCTCATGCACTTTCATACCCACTTACATCCTGTGCTCATCTTCCTGTTGCCCTAATAGAAGATCATGTAAATCATTTTGCAAAATGAAAGTCCAGCGAACTGACCGCTTGGCTAGTCCCTCCTCAGATATATTATGGAATTACAGAAAATCAACTTTCAAAAGCCTGTCCTCACTAGACGAACACAATGGGTTAATGTCAGCAATCATGATGGTAGTTGTACGTGTATGCCATATTATCTTTTGGTGACTCTCATAGGATTATATTTAATTGGTTGTATGAAGTGCATCCTCAATCACTTATTTTAATACAGTATTCTACAGAAGCATGTATTTTCTGTAGGTGAGAGTGAGGTG